ATGCTAATGGTTTTGGAATATAGAATCTATATCTACGATTTTCAGTTAAGTCTCTAATTAGATCATATACTTCTTCACATGTGAATTCACGAGGACCAAATAATTCATAAGTCTCTCCCGTGGTTAATTCATCTTTTAACATGCGTTTGAGCGCTTGAGCAACATCCAAAACCTGTAAAAAAAAAATAACCAGTGAATTATAAAACTTATAAAATTTATAAAACTTATAAAATTCATAATAAATATACATCATAGTGCAAATTATGCTACGTACATGAACAAGTCTAACTTTTGTTTGACCATAATTAAGTATATATTCATATTTGGTTTCTATAAAATAATTAATGCTTTAAAATTAAAATTAAAAAAATAATAATAATGATAATAATAAATTAATCATAAAAACAATATAAAATGATAAAACTAATCCAACTAACCTGCGTATCTAGTTAAAAATCGGTCTTCATGCCCATACATAATAGAAGGACGAACTATAGTTGCTTTTGGAAATTCTTTTTCACAGCTATTTCACCCAAAGCCTATTAAAATATAATAGCATTAAATGTTAGAATTAGAATTAAGTAAAAAAAATGATAATATTCAAAATTATTCATACTTTTGAACTAAAGAACTTGGATGGTGGATTTTTATTAGCATTCAAGGCTGATACCCCTATAAGAAATTTTTACACGTGATTGCACATGACTGCACGAAATATAGCACGTCCAAAGCACGGAAATCAGATCAGTTGCACGGAATCCGCATACACGCAAAATCGATGAACACGTAATTGCACGAAATTTTTTCATGTGCACGTCATGTGCACGAAATAATAAACGGAAAATTGCACGGGAAAGCACGTAAAAAAGCACGCTATTACGTGCACTGTTGCACGGAATTCGCGCCTTTTTACGTGTCCAGTGCACGTTTTCCCGTGCACCGTCCCGTGTTATATTCCATATAGTTCTGTATACTCTCGTGCTGTCACGTACCCGTGTTTGACTATAAATTCCGTGCACCATTTTTTATAGGATACATGTACAAATCGAGCAACACCAGCTTCTCTTGAAATTTTGGCAATTCTAGCAGCACCTTCGACATGAACTTGCTCAAAAGTGAAATTCCTGTAAATTTTTTTGTTTTAATTTATTCTAACGCTAATTAAAAAAAAAATTTCAAACGTGAATCAATTTAATTATACCTTGTCTCATGATCTCTGCCTATCAAGTTGTAAACAATATCAGAATGTCTAACTGCTTCCTCGATATTTTTTTCATTGCGAAGATCAAATTCCTAAAAAATAATTAACCCAAATTAAATGTTAAATATGAATATATATATATAATATATAGATAAGTAAGTGGATTTAAAAAAAAGTGCATACCATAGAAACAACCTGACCTAAATCTCCACAAACTTTTAAATGTCTTTATCTCGGTACGGTACAATAATTTGAGTTCCTTGCCTAGCTGCGACATTGATCCAGATAAGTCTATTAAAATAGTAATTCAAATAGATATTTCGCTTTTTTTATCACCTACCAAGTATACTTAACAATATAACGTCCTAAAAATCCTGTACAGCCAAAACAGTTGCTATATGGCCACTCACTGAGGATCTTTAATAAAAAAAGTCAATTTTAATATTTTGTAATGAAAAAAAAATACTTTAATCTTTAACGTACCGGCCTTCAGCACCATATTTGACGACAGGCTTTCCTGTTCTTTGTCTTATAACAAGATCATGGGCAAACTGCTACGTGAAAATAAAACAAATTTATTTTTTTCTTTCAAATTATACTTTCTAGAAATACTTTATAATAGTTTACCTTTTGACTTTATGTAGGAACCCACAAATTCCTACAAGAACACTAAACATGGGTCTAAGACAGTATATTATATGTTTAGATGCGATTAATCTACGTATTTTCTGGGAGCATGACCCAAGTTTTACTTTATTGGCTGCAAATATGCAACCTTAATCTTGGTTAATGTCGATACGAATTTTTTTTAGAAAAATATTAGATTGTCAAATTTCTGAACGTTGAACAAGAAAAATTAATAGAAGTTGAATTTGTACCTTTGATCCAGAAAATTTTCATTGAAACAATAAGGTTTTATGACCGACCTCTTGAAAAAGGTTTGGCGTTTGAAAAAAGTTTGCCGAGGAGGAAAAGGATAATTCAT